AACTCCCATATCACTTTTCCCAGATTCACCACTTTTCCCAGATTCCTTTATATTTTGCCCCGCGTACTTTATTATCCTCTGTCTCTCTCTCACCTGTTATCTATTAATCTATCTATCTGTCAAGTCAGTTATGCATTTTTCCTCTAAATCATCATCTGAGAGTAAGTTGGAGATATTGTACCTTTTCACCTCTATTTTAGCATGAACTTCCTAAGAACATGGACTTTCTGGTACCTAATCACAGCAAAAAAAATTTTTTTTTCCCAATCCAGGATTATTATAGCACATCTTTTAAGTGTTGGAAGAAAGAAGGAGATAAACATTTATTTTAGGCACCTGCTGGATGCCAGCCACTCTAAGCAGGCACCTTACATAGGTTGTGTCATGTCATCTTCTCAACAGTCCTGAGGAATCAACTTTTATTCTCCCTGTTTTGTAGATAAACAAACTGGGGCTTGGCATAACTCAGTAACTGGCCCACAGCTAGTCACGGGGGGAGCAGAGACACAGACTCGGGGTCTGATTTTCCTACTGCCCTGACCCTGGTGCCGGTTAAATTATTAAAGCTTGATGTGGGTCTGTTCTCAGAGAGGCATCAGGCCTGTGTGTCTTTAGTTCATTTGTGTATCATCTCAACTCCTGCTGGGCACCATGGCTGCAGAATTATTCATAAATAAGGTACTGGCTGCTTGGAGCTCATCTTCGGTAAAGATGAGACTATCACCAGCATAGACGAGCACGTCTGAAAGGTGAACATGCTTGTGAATGGATGCACAGTTATATAGCCGATCACATGGAGAGGGAGAACAGACATTACATTCATTGGGACAGGGAGTGAGAAAGACATGGGCTTCCTGTTTATGCTGAGCACATTTAGAGAAAGTTATCATTATCCTGGATCTTAGGGTTTAGCTTGGCAAGACTTGTGGGAGGAGTGGAATTTGAAAACTTAGAGCCATATAAGCATAGATATTTCACATCTGGAAAGGATTATAGACATATAGGTCACCTCCCTCATTCCAGACATTGGGAAACTAAGGCCCAGAAAGGGAAACTGATTTGTCCCTGTTATGCACATTGTCAGTGGATGACGGGCCTCGAACCGATCTAGGTCTTCTGACTTCCAGGCTGATGTTCTTTCTACTAGGACGTCCTAAGCTTTTTATACCCCAAATCCTCTTTCAGCATTTACTTCTACCCCAAGCAACCCTGTCCTACATTCCGTGTTTGGAAAGATTTTATCTGCCAAAGTACTTGTATTAATGAGTTATTTAACTAGTGACCCATTTTTATTAATGAAGGACACAGATGTACCAATTAGACTTTCTGATCAGCCTAAGATCTAATCAGTGTTAAAAGAAAAACTTTCAACAAATTAAATTTAACAGACTTGATTGAGCAAAGGGTGGTTTGTGAATCTGGCAGCCCTCAGAACCAGAAGAGGGCCAGAGAGCTCCACTCCGCCACGTAGGCAGCATTAAGGACGAGAATGGAAGTGAGGTGCAGAAACAGCTTGGTTGGTTGCAGCTCCTTGTTGCATTTGGTTATTTGAACATGGTCTGATGAGTTGGCCGCCTGCGAGTGCCTGAAGCTCGGCTGCTGTGACTGGCTGAGACTCAGCTATCTGTTACAAAAGTATACTCCTGAGTTAGGCTTTCAGTTAGTTTATGTACTGAGTTAGATTGCAGTTCATTACATAAGGACTCACAGTACGGAGGCATCCTCAGGCCAAATTTAGTTTAATTTAACACCAGGTTACTGTATCAGTAAAGAAACTCAAAAGTGTGATCTCAACTTGGATTTTTGAATGTCAAAAACAACATTTAGCCCCATCCTCCCTGTGAAATTATTACCTTCAAAGACCCTTAAAGGCTTATTAGAGAAGCCAGGTTGGGAATTACTGTACAGCACCACACGGCTTGCTCAAAAGCACTCAGGGTTGTTCATGTCCCCAACATACTAACTTCACTCTAGATGTACCAACCAGGGACCTCACCTCTCACCATTCACATCTCCCATAGGGCATAGGGCACATAATAGCCATGTTCACACAATCTGTTTCAAGAATAGCACAGAATACACCTTTTGTGAATCAAATATGGTTTTGAACCTAAATTGAGTTTAACAACAACAAAAAGATACTTTATTTTAGATCAATGGGCAGAAAAGAACTTGACCAAGCTATCCTAAGTAAAATATTGGCAAAAGAATATAACACATAAAAGTCAATTTCTTTCTAACTAGATAGGATCTACCACATGCCATGCAGCGAGACACATCACAAAGGAAACTATTGATACAGCGATTCTCCAGAGCTGCGACTCTCAAGATTTTCAATTCGTGGCTCACTTAGAAAATGATCGACTGAAGTAAACCGGTTTAACTGAAGAAGCTGGTCCTGGTCACTAGAGGCACTTGGCCTTCAGCCTGAGGGATCAATATCTTGGCACTGCTATAACCCATTTGCAGTTCACTAGTTGGAAACCTCCAAATTAATATTAACTGGAAGAAAACTAAAACTCTCAGGATTGTCTTAATAAATGACAACAAGAGCATCAATACAATCCAATTTCTATTTCTGATTAGAATCTTGGGGAAGAAAGCACTCAAGAAATGTATTTTTATAATTTGAGTGAAAACCTTAACTGAGACCCATTCCTTTCAGTGCCTTTGGTAATGACGTCTACAGCATGAATGCTTCTGTTCTTCGGTGGCTGGCGGCTGCCAGGGGGTTTATTCTTCGGGAGGAGTATTTCACTGCCCAGCAGCAGCAGTTGCTGTGCTGCACTCAGATAAAAGCCTCTTGAGTCGCCCTTTCAGTCTGGAGGAGACAACGAGAGAGGCGCTGGTCCTCGTGCCTGGTCACTAAGCAACTGGACAGGCCAAGAGTGGAATCAGGCCCCAACCGCCTGCGAGTCTGCTCTGCCATCCAAGCACACGTTAGCCCAGACCAACCACAGCAGAGTCACACGGGGCAGAAATGTGCCTGGCTAAGAGGGGACCCGGCAGAGTGCCCGGCCTCAGTCCTCCTTGTGATAAACTCAGAGGACCAGCCCTGCTGGAAAGCTCAGCTGTGTCTGCATCTGTATGTGAACCACTCACCCTAATAGGAGGCAAAAATGCTGCCTCTAACAGCCCTCCTCCCCTCACCCCTGCAAAGGGGAGCTCAGTCTCCCAGCTTATGGACAGTCCATTTGCACTTCAGGCGAGCAGTGCTCTGAGGAGCTGCCTGAGCCACACACTGGACCCTTGCTCCCTTTGGGAAAGTGCTTAACCCCTGAGCATTGCACAGCGGGTGTCTCAGAGGGGCACTTGGATTTCTACAATTCAGGGCTGAACCATAAAAGGAACCTCTTACTGGCTCTAATTGTTCACAGCCCCAGATGAGACAAATGAGTGCTTTTCATGCTAGAATTATCCAAGTATTAGCTGTTGCTTGGGATGAGACCTCAGACTTCCCCCTGTATTACCTTAGCAGAGTTAGACCCACATCAAATGTAATTAGATGTTGAAGTTCACTTTGTCATAGAAAATGGTGATTATGCAAACGTAGGCTGTGCTATTATTATAGAATGTGTTTCAGGTTTGGAAAATTGCATCCTTCTCTTCCACATTGGGTTGGCCTATGATTACTAATTCTTGAACCACTCGGAAATTCAAGGCTGATTAAGGTTTGCACAAACCAGACAGATACACTTCCTCCCTCCAGGAGCTTTGATTAGGCCCAGGTCTCAGCTTCCAAACTGCATTCCTTAGTGGGGCCTTTGGGACTGCCAGGTTGGGGGGCACCGGGGTGTTGGACCCCAAGGTTTAACCAGAATAGCTCCTCTTTTATTTGTCGAATATACTAGGCTAGTGAGCAAGCTTTATTTGGAGAAAGGATTTCAAGCTAAAAGTGTTTTGAAAACCACTGCCCCAGACCACAGGTTGTTACTGCGAATGACAATGCTTATGTATTAGATTCCCACAAACTTTTCTATGTTCTTTTTTCTTTATTGTAATTTTTTAAAATTTTAAGTCAGGCAATATGAGGTGTATATGAAAAAGGCTCAGGCTCATCTTACTCCCTTCCCATTCTGTTCCTCTGAAGATAACCAGCATTGACAGGCTGATGTATATGCTCCGTGCCTCCCTCTGTCTGTGCTGATAGCATTTTTTATTGCAATAAATTACCAAACATACAGAACAGTAGAGACTAATAAATTAACCCATGTATACCCATCACCGAGTTCCAATAATTATCAAAATTTTTATGCTTGCTTCATCTATTTTTTTCTCACATATTTTTGTTTTGTTTTCCAAAAATGGCATCATAATATACATACTATTTACTTGGCAACCTGTTTTTAACTTAACAATCTGTCTTAAAATTTGTTCCATACCAGCACATTTACCTCCTTCTTGCAATGGCTAGGTAGTTTTCCACTGTATGCTTGAACCATCATTTACTTAAACATTTCCCTATTGTTGGATATTTAGGCTGTTTCCAAAATTTTTGCCATCTCATAAATGACTGCAATAAATATTCCTGTACATATTGGTGCTTTTATTCCTATAAAATAGATTTCTAAAGGTGAGGTGGCAGGATCATAGGCTGTGTATATTTTAAGTATTATTTAATGTTGCTAAAGTATATTCTCAAAAGGTTATAGATATTCAACCTCCCACCAGTAGCATATGAATATGCCCACCTCCTCATATCCTGCACGGCCCTGGATATTATTGCTCATTAAAAATATTATTGTGTGCACTCCAGCCTGGGTGACAGAGCAAGACCCTGTCTCAAAAAAAAAAAAAAATTGTGAATCCTTTTTGTGAAGAGATGGCATAAAACTGATATTTTTTGTGTGTCTGAGAATGGATTCCTTTCCTTCGTTAATATTGTAAATTACAGCTTTGCAATCACTGTCTGAGGGAAGAGAGCCATTAGCAATGTCTGGAGTAGAGGGGAAGAGGGAACTGTCTTTCGAAGACCAGCCACTGCTCTTTGTTCCCACCAGTTTGCGCAGCGGAAAGGTGCTGGCCGCGTGGTGCACATCTGCAATCTGCCCGAAGGAAGCTGCACCGAGAATGACGTCATCAACCTGGGACTGCCCTTTGGAAAGGTCACTAATTACATCCTTATGAAGTCAACTAATCAGGTAGGTTGGGGCACTTTTGCTCCAGTATGTTTGGGATAGACCACACACTGATGAAAGGGAATTATATAATTTTTTAAAAAGAAGCTATTCTTCACATAAAGAGGTGATACATAGCTGGCCTTCTGTTGGCATGACATGGAGGTTTTTGTTGGTGATGTTGTTTTGTTTCTCCTTGTTTCACCCTACCCTTCTTGTGATGGGTACAGGCCTTTGTGAATTGCCTAGAGGTGAGGGGAGGTGCTTTGGAATGAGGTGCCTATTAATGTAAAAAATCTAATTGGCCCCAAAATAGAAACGTATGGACTTGAGTCTCTTCACTGTGTTGCCAAACTTCTGAGCTAATGCTATAGTCTTATCTTCTACACTTATCATACCTGATGGCCTATGTTTTGGGCTAACCTGATGGCCTGCCTATGTTTTGGGTATTTTTACTGGTCCATGGTGTCAGTGAGTAAGGCCCATGGATATACCAGCAGGACAGTAGGTGAAGACTAAATATGTTTGTCTTCATTTTTAAAGTCAGAGGGGGAATTTATACCCCCAGTGGTCAGAAATCAGAATATTTTCTTAAATATTTTTACTTAGGCCAGGTGCAGTTGCTCATGCCTATAATCCTAGCACTCTGAGAGGCAGAGGAGGGAGGATTGCTTGAGCTCAGGAGTTTGAGACTAGCTTGAGCAAGAGAGAGACCCCATTTCTACTAAAAATAGAAAAAAAATTAGCTGGGCAACTAAAAATAGAAAAAATTTAGCCAGGCATGGTGACACTCACCTGTAGTCCCAGCTACTTGGGAAGCTGAGGCAGAAGAATTGGTTGAGCCCAGGAGTTTGAGGTTGTCGTGAGCTAGGCTGATGCCATAAGCACTCTAGCCTGGGCAACAGAGTGAGACTCTGTCTCAAAAAAAAAAACAAAAAAAAACAACCCAAATATTTTTACTTTATGAATCAGAGGAGCAGGCACAGGAGGAATTCTTTTCTTAGTTAAGGCATAAACTTTGGAGACTCAAAGTCACATCAGATCTTCAATGGCCTCCCTCCATCAACCTGGGATAGACTACTCAGTCTCCTCCTACTTCTCAGAAATTCTATCCTGGGTAAATGTGCAGAATTCAGCTTGCAACATTAATGCAGCGAGATTCCCTAGATTAGTGTTATTCCCATTTGAGAGGTGAGAGCCGGAGGTGCTAAAATGTTTATATCAAGAAAGAAGCAGTTAGAAAGCTGGCCGAATTTGAAATAAAACCCTAAAGAATCTCGACTTCTTAGTCGCCCACACTTCTGCCATGGACTGTGACAACATGGCGAGAACCGTGGATCTGAAATTCAGAAATAAACATGGAGGAAGGAGGAGGAATGAGCTTGTTTAGCCCATTTGGTTCAAGGAAGCGGGAGAGTTAAGGGCTCAGATGAGGGCTCCCCTGTCACAGACCACGTTTCCCTCTCCAGAGAGAGGGCCAGAGTCAGCACATCATCAGTATAGCACAAACCAAACAAATCTAAGAAACAATGACAACGAATTTGCCATAGCAGCTACTGGGGTAACTGACAGGTCTGTCAAAACAGTCTATTTGGAAACTCTCTAGGAATGGAAAAGCACATTTCTCGTGAGTGTTTTATCACAACAGTTAAATACATATGAAAGATACCATGGAAACATAACCAGGGGTTTTCCTTTCTCTTTAACTCACGACATGGCCTTCGCTCAAGCCTAGGAGAGTCCTGAGTTTTTGAGTATATTTCTTTCTTTATAAGGAAAGTGAGAGATCGCATAACTGAGGCTTGTACTTTTGTCTCTTGCTGTCCCCACCACCAAACAGCGAGTTTTGTAGGGGTCAGTCCAAGGCCACACGTGCAACGGCTCCCTCTGGGATCTGTGGGTTCATGGACCCTCCCATCCTGGAGGGGCTTCATAGCATGATGTAGCCCAGGATGGACATACTTAAGAATAATGTTTTATAACTGTGAGAATCAGGAGAGGGGCCATCTTATAATGAGCTCTTTTGGTGGAGTTAATAAAAAGGTCTCTTTGAACACATAAGATCAAAAAGGTCTCTTCCTTATACTGACTTTTTTTCCTTTTCATTGAAGTGTGAAATACATACTCTAAAGTGTGTAAAGTACACTAGTCTTTCTTTCTTTCTTTTTTTTTTTTTTTTTGAGACAGGGTCTCACTCTGTTGCCCAGTCTAAAATGCCATGGCATCAGCCTAGTTCACAGCAACCTCAAACTCCTGGGCTCAAGCGATCCTCCTGCCTCAGCCTCCTGAGTAGCTGGGACTACAGGCATATGCCACCACGCCCGGCTAATTTTTTCTCTATATATTTTTAGTTGTTTGGCTAATTTCTTTCTATTTTTTTTAGTGGAGATGGGGTCTCGCTCTTGCTCAGGCTGGTCTCGAACTCCTGAGCTCAAACAATCTGCCCACCTCGGCCTTCCAGAGTGCTAGGGTTATAGGCGTGAGCCACCATGCCCTGCCAGTACGCTAGTCTTAAGTGTGCAATTCCATTAATTTTTCGCATGCGTACACACATATAGTTAACACCCACACTGAGACGCAGACCATTTCTAGAATGTCAGAAGATTTCCTTATGCCCCTTCACAGTCAGTACCCTGTCCCACCCTGCCCAGAGGGAAGCTCAGCTCTAACTTCTATCATCATTTATTAGTTTTGCCTGTTCTTGAACTTCATATACATGGAGTCATACCTTGTACTGAGTTTTATTTAGGAGCATTAAAGTCAAGTCCAATATGTGTCCTTCCTTTTTTTCTTAGGCCTTTTTAGAGATGGCTTACACAGAAGCTGCCCAGGCAATGGTCCAGTATTACCAAGAGAAATCTGCTGTGATCAATGGTGAGAAGTTGCTCATTCGGATGTCCAAGAGATACAAGGAATTGCAGCTAAAGGTAAAAGCATTCTCTCCTTCATGCAGCCATTCACAAGCATCAGCTGAGCTTTTCTTACTGGTCAGGGACTGACTTAAGTGCTGGTGGGAAGGAGAGGATGGGAAAAGATTTAGAAATTCCTCACTGCCTTTGTGTATATTACTTGGGAAGGTGAACCCTTACAATATGGCAAGCGAAGTGCTCATTGAGGTAATTCAAAATGCAAAGGGATGCTCAAGACTACTTGGCAGCCGAGGAAGATTTTCCAGGGGAAGATGTTTACAGGGAAAGTCTTGAAGGAGGAAATCAGAGGGGAAAGGTGGTTGCTTCTCAGTAGTGGGAGTTCCACTACTGAATGCAAACTCCTTTTCTACCTAATAGGCCTTCAGTAAATTTTGTGTCCTCTGTCAACCTGCTTTGTTTACTGTTCTCTCCTCTCCATATTTATGTCTTAATCCAGCCCCATAGAAGTCCTTCTAAGCAGCACTTGACTCAATTGGCCACTGTCAGAACTCAGAGATAAATTTGGATTATTCCAAACTGGGCTTTGTTTTTGTTTTAGCTGGTCTACATTTCTTTCTTTGTTTTGCTGCTTTTTTGTTTTATTGTCAAGTATTACATACATACAGAAAGTAGATAATTATATATTGTAAAATTTAAAAAGCCTTAATAGGTGAGATCGCATAAATACCACAAAACCGCCACCAAAGTCAAGAACTAGAATGTGGACAGCAGGCAGAAGCCCCTGTGAATCCCTCCCCATGCTCAGCCCTTCCCTGTCCACTCTCCTGACTTGGGGGAATATCATTTCTGTGCTTTTCTTTATAGTTCTACCCCCTATATGTGCCTCCCTAAACATTATAGTTTAGTTTTGCCTGGTTTTGAACTTTGTATGAATGGAATCATACTGTGTTCTTACAGATCTTGCTTCTTTCATTCAACATTATGTCATCCATGTTGTTGGGTGTGTCTATTTATTTTCATTGTTATGTAAATTTCTGTTGTATGGCCGTACAATTTATTTATCCATTCTATTGTTGATGGACATTTGGATTGCTTCTACTTTTAGGATATTAGGGACAATGCTAATATGAACCTTTTCAAACATGTTATCATGGGATACATGCACAGGAGCATATAACTGGAGGTACATAAATAACTAGAATTGGAATTGCTGAGTCATAAGGCATGCCTACCCTCAACTTTATTAGATGATAGCAAACTCTTTCCAAAATTAGTTGTCCCAAATTTGTACTACTACTAGTAGTGTATGAGAGTTTTCAACGGTCCAGATTCTTGCAAACATTTTATCTTATCTGACTTAATTTTTGCCTGTCTGGGGAGAGTATAATGGTTTATCATGGTTTTATTTTTATTTTCCATTGAAGTTTGGCACCTTTTCATATGTTTATTAGCTATTCCATCTAGATCTTCTTTGGTGGGAAGTTTCTTTTCAAGTCATTTGCCCATTTTTTTTGCATTGTGACTTCCATTTGTTTGCAGGAGTTCTCTTAACTGGAGCACTTAGTCCTTTTGGATTTACTGTAAATAATGGTATAATTATGTTTAAATCTACCTGCTTATTTTGTGCTTTCTTCTGTCCCATTTAATAGAGTTTTTTCCAGTTCATTTCAGCTCATTCCACATTTACTTAGGGTCCATTTTGTTCAAGACTCAGTCTTTAATCTGCCTCCACGGTTGGAGTCAGAAGACAAAGGCTCAGTGATTGTTTCTAGCTAGGACTAGTATTCCGACAAGTCTACATATATGGATCACTACTATGTCAACCAGTTGCCAAAGTCCTGATTCTGCTTTGCTTACATCATTGCCTCTAAAGTTCCTGTGCCAACAGTTCTGCTTCAGGCAGAACCTAGCTTTTTTTTTTTTTTTTTTTTTCACTCTAATGAAAGCATATTGCTTCTCTCAGACAAGTAAAAGATCCCAGCCCGTTCTGTACCTAGCCAAAATTCCCATTCTCCTGGATTCTCCCCTGGGAACTAGAATTGAGTTTATGCTTTGAGTTCCCAGTGGAGCTTTCGTCTCCAAATGAGACGTTGTCATAAGTTTCTAATTAGGATAAACAGCACTAATCAGCTTCTTAAAGTACCAAGGCATAGTAATACTTTGCCAAGGAAGATAGTTTGCAGTGGTGCAAAAACCATGGGTTAAAGAGGTCGGATAGTCAAGTTTGCATCCAGCAAATGTTCACTGAGTGCCCACGGTGGGTGGAACGGGGCCAGGTGCCATGGATGTAGAGGTAGCAAGCTTGCGAGGAACTTGGTCTGGTGGAAGGAAAAACATGTAAACATAGATCCATCAACAAGCATCATGTGACCTATGTCAGATTGGAAGGCTCTATCCCTTCCTGTGTTCCTTAGGCAAGTTGCTTAACCTCTCTGAACCCCTGTTTTCAAATCAGAAAAGGACTAGACCTTGAGTTCTTTGGCTTTAAGCATTTTTTTCAAACACCATCTTTTGAGCCTCATAATCACCCCACCCTGTAGCTATGTAGGGTGGATACTAGCAGTAATTATAAGAGTACAACAATAATAACAATAATATGTACCTTTAATTGTGTCCTGGTCCTCTGGGGTGAGTACCAAGCACTTTACATATATTATTTACTTGAATCCTGACATCAGTCCTGTCAGACAGGTATTATTATCCCAATTTTACAGATAAGGAAACTGAGGCTAACAGAAGTGCATCAGTAATTTGTCCAGGATCGTATTTGGTTACTGGAAGAAAGGTGATTAAAACCTGGCACTGTTTGGGTTTTTCACTATGTCTGCGTCATTATAGTGTGTTATCAGGATCTCCGTTGTGCAGGTGAAAAAACAGGCAGAAATCAGGTAATTTGCTTATGTAGTCAGGAAGCAGCAGAGATAGTATTCTAATAGGGTTTCTCAAGCTTCAATATGCAAGCAAATTACTTGGGGCTCTTCTTAAAATGCAGCTTCCAATTCGGTATGTCTAGGGCAGCACTGTGATTCTGCATTTCTAACTGATGCTGCTGGTCCTCAGAGCACACTTTGAATAGGGAGGGTCTAGAATACATTGTTTTCTGATCTTAGTATATGTGTTTTCTGCTCCCCAGGATGTCACATGCCTCTTAGGGTCATTGGGAAGGTCACATGGAATAACATATATGAAAGCATCTTAAAGCATGTTTCCCTTACATAGTAGCATATGCTTTTTGGTCCCTATGTTGATATGGATCAGCTATGACTCTCTTTGCAAGTAACAGAAATTCGTCTCAATTAAGCACATTGGCTTAAGTAAAAACAAGGAACTTATCCGATCATGTAAATGAAAAGTCCAGGAGTAGCTCTGGTTGCAGGTATGGCTGGATTCAGGGCCCAAATGATATTATTCAGATTTGCTTTCTCTCCACTCTGTCTTCCACCCTCATGGCTCTGTTTATTGGGGGCTTCCTGGGTTGGGCCTTAGCAGCCCCCAGCTCTCTCCTTTAAGTGGCATGATGGCCATAGTAACTTCACCAACTCTGGCTTTTTATCCTTCCATTTCCTTCAACAAGAGAGAGCCAGAGTTTTTCCTAGAAGCTCCTACAAATTGGACTAGCTTAGCACATGCACACATCCCTGAACCAACCTCTGTGGCCAGGGGTGGGCCGTGCTGTGACTGGCTGGGCCTGGACCGCCTGCTACATCTTCAGAGTCATGGGTGGAGACCTACCCAGACCTCTGGAGCAATATCAGGGAGGAGCAGCTGCTACCAGAAGGAGGGAGCTTGGCTACTGGGGAGGTAGATGGCAAACCTGTGTCCAGTGTGTCTCTGAGCCAAAGGGGCCACCACGTCGGGTCCCACCAGGGTTGGCAGAGGTGGAGAGAAATATTGATGCTCTTTCTCCTTTAACTTTATCTTTTGCTCACCAAGCAAAGGGCAAAGAAAGAAAAGAGATTTTAAGGCATTTTTCATCTCTTGTCTTGAATATTCCTCATGCACATATCTTGTCTCCCTCATACACCTTTTGTGGCAGGGGTTCTATTCATCACGGTATTTGGGGCAGAGCCTTTCACATAATAGTTGTTCCATAGATATGCAGAATGAATGAGAAAGAAAAAATCTAAAAAGTGAGTGTTTTTCTTCCTACAGACCTGGACAAGAAGATTAGAATCTTTTCTGGGCTGTTCTAAAGAGACTTCTCCAAAAAGTACAGAATCATAATGTCTTCGATGCAGAAGGGAACTTAGAAAAATTTAAACCAGTGTCTCCCAGTCACTGCATCAGAGAATCATCAGAGTTTTTGGTTCCTCTTACTCAGAGCTTCTCATTCAGTAGGTTTGGGGATAGGACTGAAATTCCCCGGTGGTTCTCGGGGCAGAGGGCCTGGTTTCAGAGCTTGCCTTCTAGCTGCAGTGAGGGCCTCTGGCCCTGGGAATTAGTCTTGTGAATGGCCCATGATGCTCTCAGCTGGGCAGATTAAATGGGCGAATTTATGATGGAGGGTCTTCTCTAAGTGAGACATGGTACTAATGGTTACAGTGCATAGGAGACGTAGTCCTTACTTGGGGAAAGTGTACTGTCTAACTGGGAGACAAGCTATTCTTGTGCAAAATCATACAAAATTCAAACATAAGTGCATAAGTACAGGAGCCACTAGAAGTTCAGTGGCAAAAGGCAGTGTGACTTAGGCATGTAAAAAGGGAGAGATTTCTGAGCAGGGCTGTGAAAAGGGGGAGAATTAGCAACACAGAGAGAGGGTTTCCAGGCAGAAGGAATTGGGTGAGAGAAGATGTAGAGGCTGGATGCCAGGTAACATTGAAAACAATCAGGGCTGCTTTGATAGGATCTGACTCTGATGAATTCTGAGCTCATCTGGAAGGTTTCAGCATCTTCCCAGGGCTCTTGAGGTATGTAAAACAGCTGTGGAGCTGTCAGAGGACATGAGACTCCCCAGCAGCTCCTTTTGTGTTGGCCAAGCACTCTGTGACTTTTATTGGCTAGCCTGCCATGCCCTGAGGCCTTTGGTGGATGCCAGATGGGCCTCATTAAGCCACCTTTATAGGTGGAAAAAGTGAGTCTCCCATAGGCAACAAGCCCTGACCCTGGGTGACCCAGCAGTTGGGGGCAGAGCTGGGGCTGCTCTTCCCGAGTTGAGATTCCAAGTCATGACGCCTCCCCCTGAGTGTGCCAGCACTTTTTGGGGGCTGCACAGGAGCTTTGAATCTCACCCTTGACTCACGTGTTGACCGTGACCATTGTCGATGGTCCTAGTGGGGTTGTTGAGCTATATCAGTATCATCCTAGAATGGATGAAAAGATATGACATCTGGGATTTGCTTCAAAATAATCTAGGGAGTGGGGAAAGAGTGTGAGGAGTACAGATGCAACAAGATTGGTCAGAAGTGTTGAATATGGGTAATGGATTCTTGGGGGTTCAGAATACCATTTTCTCTACTTTTGTGTATGTTTAGAATTTTTCACAATGAAAAGGTTCCCCCTTGGCCGGGCGCTGTGGCTCACGCCTGTAATCCTAGCTCTTGGGAGGCCGAGGCGGGCGGATTGCTCAAGGTCAGGAGTTCAAAACCAGCCTGAGCAAGAGCGAGACCCCGTCTCTACTATAAATAGAAAGAAATTAATTGGCCAACTGATATATATATAAAAAATTAGCCAGGCATGGTGGTGCATGCCTGTAGTCCCAGCTACTCAGGAGGCTGAGGCAGGAGGATCGCTTGAGCCCAGGAGTTTGAGGTTGCCGTGAGCTAGGCTGATGCCACGGCACTCACTCTAGCCTGGACAACAAAGCGAGACTCTGTCTCAAAAAAAAAAAAAAAAAAAGGTTCCCCAAATTTTACCATAAACCTACTCTATTCTCTCCCATTTCCATTTTTCTAAGATGATTATAGCTGTGTTTAACCTGCCTCCTTTACACTTCAACAATGGCCCGAGAGGAAGGTTGAGAGGGTTTTCTTGGGGCTTTGAGAAGTCAATTCTATTATTTGAAAATCTTTGTCCACTTCTGTCCCATTCTCAGATGGTAGCTGGCATTTGGTCCAGAGAGTACCAAATCATTTGCAATTACCACTTAAAACAGCAAGACTGACCCCTCCGGTCCTCAGAAGTGCCTCAGTGCCTGTGATCGCTAGCCCAGTATGGTATTCATATTCATTCCCTGCAGCCCCATCCCTCCAGCCAGTCATCTTAGAACAGGCATTACGGAGCACCTGTCCCATACCAGGCTCTGTGCTGGTGCCGGCTACATGAAGATCAATGACCTGGGCCACCCTTACTGGGGACCAGGGATCTGAATAGAAGTAACTGCAGAGGGCTCTGGGCTGGGAGTGACTGTAGGAGGAGGGTCTATGCTTGGGAAAATAAGGGGCAGGGGAACATTTAAGCCAAGATGCCCTTCTAGCCCCCAGAGAGCACTCTAATTGTGCCTCTTTGACCCCAGGCACTGCATGGGGCACTAGAGGTTTTCATCTGTGGTATCTGATTGGCTTGCTCTGCCACTCATCAAAGGGGAAGGGCCTGGGGGTGCGTCCGTGATGACCAAGGTGCAGAAGGGACAGACAGCTCCGGGAATACCTCTGCCTCTGGCATTGGCCTGCCCTGCTCCCACCCCAACTCCGCCGTGGTAAAACCTCAGCTGCTCCCTGCCAAGGCCACCCTCCTCCCACCCTGGGCTTTCCAGGGCCTGGGCTAGAAGGAACAGTCAGGAGGATGTCAGGTTCTAGAAAAGCAGAAGAAAACTGGGACCTTGGGGATTCTTTTTACAACAGAAAGTCCACATCCAACCTCCTTGGGGAATTTTTACTTTTATGTTCTGAATAGTTGCCATGGTACGTTTATCCCGGTGTGGGGGCATATTCTTTAGCCTCTGCTTATTCCAGTTTGGCAGTGCATGCCCAGGATGTGGTCTCCTGGGTGTCAGCAAGTCTCAACACATAGACTTGGTCTGGTGGCTCCCACGAGCTTTCCCAAGCTCCACTGCTCCCATGCTGGCCTGCGTGGAGGCTGTGCTACAGTGGGACCAGCCATCCCAGCCGGCCTTTCCCTTGATGACCCAGTAACTGGATTCCATTGTGTGGCCCAAGGTATGCAGGCAGGAAGAAGACCACTCAGTGAGATACACTATCATGGTGTAGTCACTTCCAAATAAGCCACCTTCTACCCCAATAGAAGGTTGATGAACAACCTTAGCTGAAGGCCTGGTGGTCTGGAGCAGGGTGGTGGGGTGGAAGGAGACATCTTGGGCAGCAGCTTTCTTCTCTGCCCAGCATCCTTGGCCGGCCTTGAGTCTCTGCTTATGGTCCAAGATAAGCAATTAGGGTGCTGGTTGCCAGTGCAAGTCTTGGGTGATCTGGTTACTTGCAGGTGGCTTGTAGAGGGTCCACCTCTACCGTCCAGTTTGATGTAAAGGCCATTTGCCAAAGTTGCAAGGTGCCTTTTCGGATGGGCATCCTGCCCAGTGCTAAGTTCCTGGGCTTTTTCTTGAACAAGGAATTGTCCGGCTTCTTGACCACCAACTCCCTCCTGAGCACAGAGGTAGGAGTCGCTGCCTCCTGTCTGACTTTCATCCTTTTTGCATCTGCAGCTGGGGTTGAACATTTTCTATCTGTGTCCCAGCCCTGACCTCGCACCTTGAAGCTGCAGGAAGCTCCTCCTTCATTCTCGCCTTTCCTCTGTGTTCTTCCCAGGCCACCTTCAACTCAGCGGTGACAGATAAGCAGCCAAGCCACTCAGAGCACCCAGACCATTCTAGTGCCCACTGGATCCCATCTGTACAATGAGATCCCTAGTGTTTGTGTGGCCCCTAAGATTTCATGATTCTTTGTAAATGACATGGGAGAAAAAATAAAGGATAAAAGAGCAGTTGATTCAATATCTTAATAAAACTCTATCAAGAGTTGACATTACAGACTAGGAGTTTTGGAATTGTTTATAAAAAATCAGCCTTATTGTGATATAATTCATATACCATAAATGTCACCCTGCTCAATACATGTTTATTGAATGGATGAATTCTGCATGGTCTTCTAGGAGGTGCCCCTGCCTTGTCTTTGTGCTCATGAATTTCTTGTCTTAATCATTTATTATTTACTTTTTTGTTATTCTGTGTCCATTCTGGGTTTAGGAAAGGACTTTGATTGGGATTTGGGGGTGAGGGTTGGTCCTGTCCTGGCACAGGCCCCACGTAATGACCTCTGGACAGGGCGAAGCCTCTGGGTGCCTGCCATTCTCAGGTGTGAAACGTGACTCCCAGCCTTTGCTGCGCAGCTCACAGGTGGACTCTGAGCACCAGCTGACCCGTGTGGGTGACACACTGGAGTAAGGTGTTGAGGGAGGTGTGGGGCATAGAGAGCAACTTGGAGTTAAAATGCCTGTTGCCTGGTCCTGAGTCCTTTAACTACCTCTGAGACCTTGAATGTGTCCCTCAACCCAGCACAACTGCAGGGGTCACCATCTGCATGGAGCACAGTGTGGCTGGTGACCCCGGAGCTGTGCAGGGTCAGAGACTCTGTCTCAACCTCTCTGGGTCTCAGTTTCCTCACATATAAAATGTGGGGGCTGCATTCAATGATCTTCACATCTCCCCAAGTTTACAATGCCTGCCTGCCTTTTTCCTTCCTTTCTTCCCTCCTCTCCTCCCTCCCTTCTTTTCATGTTTTAAGTATATTTTTTTTACTCGGTGGAGGTGGAGATTGAGTATTATAAGCCAATGCTGCTTGTCCCCGGTGTATGGACGTGAACACCAGGCTCCTTCCGTCCCCAGCTTGATGGACCGCTCAGTGTCCTCTGGACCGGTCAGCCTTACCTGTTCAGCATTATACTCGCACTCTTTATTCCTCAGATTACACTTGTTTCCCTTCCCCACAAAGGATGGGGCGATGGACCACCCAACTCAGAGCTGCTTCCCTCTGGCGTTTGCAAGGCCACCTCTGACCTCATGGTGATCTCTCTGACTTTGCTAGAAACCCGGGAAGACGGTGGCTGCCATCATCCAGGACATCCATTCCCAGAGGGAGAGGGACATGTTTCGGGAAGCAGACAGGTGAGGTCTGGGCCCCAAGTCTCAGGGCAGGTTCTGGGCAGTTGGAACACACTCCTGTTTCTCAGGGGGATTTGAGTCACACTGTGCCCTGCCCTTGCTCCTGCCCCATCCTTCTGCCCTCTGGGCCCAAGTTCCCCATGAAAAGCACAGTCCCGTCCAGAAGTGCTGCTCAGGTTAACCTCGGGAATGTGCGAGACGCTGGGCTTCCCCCTCAGCTGCTCCTCCTTTGTTGGAAAGAAATAAAGGAAAGGGTCTGTTAGTATGTGGCCCTTTGGGGCAAGTCTGCACTCTCAGAGTGTGTGTGTGTGCACATGTGCACGTGCCTTGCGTTTAGAGCCAGCTCTTGAATTTTCATGAGCTGAATAGAGTTGTAGGGAAAAAATTATACATGGTCCCGTTCCCCCAAAAAACCAGTTACTTAAACAGTCACTCTGAACATTGTATATATTCAGCTTTCAACCCATGTCTTCCAACTGAAGTGTGTGACCAGGCCAAGCTGGGGCTACAAGTTGGCCACTGTCACTCCCCTGAGAAGACAGTTCCAGCGGAAGAACAAGGTGGAAGCAACAGGGGCGGGCGGCACCGGCCGCACAGCTGTGACGCTTACCCAGGGCTGCCGCGGGTGGCGCTCTAACCCCACTCTAGAGGCTTCTTCCCCCATGATGTCAGAGCAGCCCTAGCGAGACACATCAAGGTGTCCCCTAGTCAGTGAGGGTTGTTTTCCTGTACTGGGGAGCAAATGGAAAATGCTCATTTTTTAAGAATGCCGGGTATAGACTCAGTTGACCTGCTTGATAACCAGACAGCCTCAGGTATATGTGTATTTTGTGTATCTGTTCAGGCATGGGATTTGTATTTTTCATGTGTCTGTTTTCTTTAAAAAATTGTGGTTATTGGGGTTTTTTAAAGACGTATGTGAGGCCACACCATGCCACCTGTGCTCTGTGTCAGGGGAGGGGATTAGGAGGTCTCACTCTGAACTGTAGGCAAGGTGGGGTTCCTTTCTGGGTTTCACTTTCTTCATCTCAGACAAGAGTAGGTTAGAGTCCTAGAGTCTCTTCCAACCCTAAAATGCCTTCCTAAATCTTTGTTATTGGAATCTCTGAGCCCGCCCTCCCCGGTAAGTAGCATCCTTCTTCTCTGCCAAGGAGCTGAACAAATCGAGATGAGAAATAAATGAGAAAAGTGGAGGCTAAGAGGTGACCTGATTCTGAGAGAGGTGGCTGATCGCACCCCGGGGTGAGGCAGCCTTATCCCCCGGGCTGGCCCCGACCCCACACACCCCCAGGAGGAGGGTCAGAGTCCTGCTCCCTGAGCACAGCTGGCTTCCAAGAGAAGGAAAGACGGGGCTGAGCCAAAGCCAGCCAGCTATTCTTCCTGGTTCCCAGGAGCAGAAGGAGCAAAGGAGCAGAGGGTGGCCAGTACCAGGCTTAGAGAAAAATGCTCCACATAGAAGCCAGGAGGGAGGACAAACCACACTCTGTGTGGTTCTGGACAGTTGTGAGTTAAGCGTGCACACAGTTACACGTGCGGTATGTGTGCAGGAGAAATCGTGCACCTGTGTCTGGGTGGGGTGGGGTAAGCTTCGAGCAGCTTCTAAACTCTGCCCCTTGGCTCCCCGACAGATATGGCCCAGAAAGGCCGAGGTCCCGCAGCCCGGTGAGCCGGTCCCTCTCCCCACGGTCCCACACTCCGAGCTTCACCTCCTGCAGCTCTTCCCACAGTCCTCCGGGCCCCTCCCGGGCTGACTGGGGCAACGGCCGGGACTCGTGGGAGCACTCCCCCTACGCCAGGAGGGAGGAGGACCGAGACGCGGTCCCCTGGAGAGAGAACGGGGATGACAAGAGGGACAGGACAGAGCCCTGGGCACACGATCGCAAACACCATCCCCGGCAACTGGACAAGGCCGAGTTGGACGAGCGGCTCGAAGGAGGCAGGGGCCACCGGGAAAGGTACCCAAGGTCTGGGTCCCCCAACCCGCTGCACTCTGCGTCCAGCTACAAAAGCCGGGAGGACAGCTACTACCGGAAGGAGCTCAAAGCCAAGTCGGACAAGTACCCGAAGCAGCAGCAGGATGCCCCCGGGAAGTCCAGGAGGAAAGAGGAGTCCAGGCTGCGGGAAAGCAGACACCCCCTTCCCGATGACTCAGGCATGGAAGACGGGCTGGGGCCAAAGGTCACTAGGGCCCCTGAGGGCGCCAAGTCCACGCAGAGTGAGAAAAACAAAACCAAGAGACCTGATAGAGACCAAGAAGAAGCTGATGATAGAAAAGAAAGAAAAATGGCAGAGAATGAGGTAATGATGCAATCTCTTCCCCAGGTAAGGTGAGGCAGGTCCCAAAGGAGAATAATAATATTAAATAACAATATAATGATGATGCACATGAACTGAATGAAGGATCATTTATCTGCTGTTTACTCTGTGCCAGGCACTGTGCTAGACACTTTATTTCAATTAAGTCATTTAATCCTCTCAGCAACCCTATGAGGAAACTGAGGCACAGAGAACCTACCTTATTTGCCCAAAGGCACACAGTCAGGAAATGGCAGAGACAGGATTACAACTAGACATTCTGGCGCCAAATTCCATGGCACATTCTTGCCCTTACTAGAAGTCAGAGGGGCATGATAGGATGGCTTTCTGTCGTCCTCTTTGTCCATGGGGGAATGGCCCCGAGGTGTTTGCACACACAGAGTCTGCCAAGGGAGGTTAGATCTTTGGTCCACTCTGCCTCCCTCCTGCCAAAAACATTTACCAATCCTGGAGCTCCAGTGAGGGGTGGTGAAGGAGAAGTAGCCACCCATGAAATTATACTGGGTGCCCTGGGCTTGGGGTGTTTTACCCCACTTTAACGAAATGCATGGCAATTGGCCGGCACCTTCACCCACATGTCTGAAAGGCTAAGACCTGCTGCATTTCTTCAGTTCATGCAGAGTCCCAAGGTGGATTCTGGTACCAGGTTTATGTTTTAACTTGGCTTACACTTCCTTCTTGCTAGAGTCTCCTGAATTTAAGTAGAGGTGGCATAGTAGAGGTTTGGGCATCTGCTTAAGGAACATAATTTTTTAAATCCTCTACAAATATCTTCTAGTCATCTTGACCCAAGAGTTGGTGACAATTACTAAGTCTAAATAAGGAGCCCAATTCTCAACTCCATGAACACTGAAGGGTCACTCTTCTGGCTACTACTTCAGCATTCAGTCCCACATGCATGGGTGGAGTGCCACTTTGCCAGGTGTTGTGCTAGGCACAGGGAGTTCAAAGGTGAATAGGATGTGGTCCATGTTATGGCAGAGACCGAGGTCTAATGGTGGAAAGAGACCTATAAAATAATTTGTATACAGTGGGAACTTACAAAGGGTGAGCTGCTCTGTGGGCAGTTATGAACTCTGCACAGGAGAGGAGAGCTGCACAGAGGAGGTGACATTTGAGCTGGGTATTGAAAAGGGGAAACAAGCAGTTTGGGATTCTCGGTAGAAGCAACAGCAAGGGCGAAAGTGAAAAACAAAGACTGTTTTGAAAAACCTGGAAATACTCCATGTGGCTGCATCTTTAGGGCAGATTAAAGGATAATATTTTTAAAAAGTAAAATCAAGGTAATGAAAGATTCAAGCCTGTATAGAATCAGATACCCTGGAAGGATGTGCTAGTCAGATGCCCACCATTCCTCCAAAAGGACACTCAGTAATCTTTTCTCCCATTACAAAGTCTGCCACAATTTTTCCCAACTGGTTTGGGGTGGGTGGTGGGGAAGCGCAGGAGAGAGATGAGATTAGGGAAGTGCCTGTGGTGGGCTCGTGAAAGACCTTGGGTGCCTTCCCGAGGCCTTGAACTGGATCTGAAGGACCTAGTGAACCAGTGGGTATTTTTTAGAAAAGTGTATTTGCTTCGAGGTGACCAAGGTGCTGGTGATGGTTCAGTGTCTAGAGGAAAGGCATAAAGCAAGAGTTGGCAGGGGCTCAAGCTGGGCCTCTTATGTGTACTGCCAGTCTGCCGGCCTCTGTCCCTCAAGGCCCAAGGGTGAGGCTGCCCCCTCTTAACCTGCCCTTCTTTGGTAACCTCATTTCCCCTACTGTTTATCTATACTGCTGTCATTGGTGTATAACACTGCCCATTTAACAAATCCACTGCTATGTGAGTTGTATTTAACTCACAGAGCCTCATGAAGCATATGAAGACACAATTCTCTGAAGCAAATTCAATAAGTATGTCATGAGTCACATACAACTCAATTGGCGTACAGTGAAAAAATTGATTCTAGTGCCATGTGAGTTGCATATAACTCATGCACAGAAAACAAGAAAAAAAATAACAAATTGTTCATTAAATTAGAAAGGATTGTTTCATTTTCAAAGCTTTTATTCTAGTTTCATAATAAAACACTGTGGCTCCAGGGAAAAATTTTTTTTCTAGTGTAGAAGTCACTGTGTTAATATGACACACACTATGGGTCATCCTGAGAACCTTTGATGGAAAAGGATTTTCAGAAAGTTCCTGGGTGTCTCCTCAGTTCTGTCTCTGGAGTGGTTTTGCCTCTGACAGTCCCAGAGTAGAGTCATCAGGGACTTGCTGGGGCCCCCACAGATTGTGTCTGTGCATTTGGAGCCAGGCAGCCCAACTCCGTGTGCTGCAGTAACAGCAGAACAAAGAGCTCTTCGTACTGTTCTTGAACTTTGTGTTAGGAGCTCAAGAAAAACCCACACCCCCATTGGGCTGTCCCCAGAGTCAGATAACAGGTGGCGACTGAACTTGGGAAGAAGGCAGCAAGCTGAGGACGGGGTCCTTGCTGTCCTCACACACCAGGCGCCTCCCACACGCAGGGCCTTTACACGTGTCCCCCTGCACGGAGGGCCCAGGGGACTCGCTCACGGCCTCATCGTCCACATGTCTGTCCCTGGCACTGCATGCAATCTCAGCACCCCAATCCACGGACCTCCCTTCCCTGCTCTCCTAACCTCCACGTAGCAGGAAGTTTTGTCCCCTGCTCTGTCCCCAGTCCCTAGAGGAGGGCTTGGCGCAGGGTGGGCGTTCAGTAAGTGTCTGTTGAAGGAATGAATGACTGAACCAAACTCTTGGGGCAGAGGCCTTAGCATCTGAGAACTTGGTCACACCCTGTTCTTGTCTGCCTCAATTTTCTTGTTTGTAAAATGGGTGTGATCACAAAGGTTGTCATAGCATATTAATGAGCTTGTGCTCATTAAAATCCCTCTGAGATCTCAGGAGAAAGTGTCTATGGTGGAGAAGTCAGTGTGTGTCAGCTCAGTGATCACGAGTGGCCAAGGCTATACATGACACCTAGCCCTGACCACAGGCCCATGAGAAGAAGGAAAGAAATCAAGTCATGAATAAGGAAAACATGGGAAGGAAACACTCTTCCATCTTACTGGAAGAGGAGACCAAGGTTATAGACCCAGTTACCTAGGGAAGGGAAGCCAAGCAGGTGCCAAATGGAACCAGGTGAGCAGGATGGACCCTGGCAGACCGGGGAGTGGTGCCTGTCACCAGCCTCCACTCAGCTCCATTCTGAAGCTGCCATGTGGAATGTGCCCTCACTGTGAGAGTCCCCTTTTCTTAGAGCAAGGGGACATTCCAGGGTAGACTAAGATGTGTCTGTGGGCCAGATGCAGCCCAGTGGCCCCTAGAATGTAACCTTTAGTATAACCAATCTGTCAGAGGAAGAAGTTGAGAAACCACTTACACTCAGTGCAGGGCCCAGACGAGACCCAAAGTGTGTGGGGAGGCAGGTGTGAACTTGTTATTCACCCCCCTGCTTCTACCAATTTCATTCTTTTATTGGCCAATATCCGTGGGGCACCTAGCACTGGGGCTGCAGCCGTGCGTGACTCTGAGACGACCCCGGTCTCGTGGAGCTCGAGGTCTAGTGGAGAGACATGCTGGCGCAGTGATCCCTCACATGGACAGAAGAGCGTGGGCGCTAAGTGCTAAGGCGATGGAGGTTTACCATGCTGTGAGTGCCTGCAAGGAATCCGAGGCTTCCCTGGGTTAGGGTGTGACTACCGAGATTGGGAAGAGTGGTGAGGATATTTACTGAGTGAACAGGAAGGCGAGCAGATGGAGGGATTGGCGTGTGCAAAGGCCTGTGTGTGGCTCCAGTGTTGCTGGAGCAGGGAGAGCTGGGGTCAGAGGAACAGGAGGTGAGGCTGATGTGCCGACAGGGACATCATCACGCAGGGCGTGATGGTGGAAGGGGAAGGATGGTTGTCCTATCTTAAGTGCAGGGAGAAGCAAATGAAACATTTAAGCAAGAAAGTACAGGAAGAATGTGATAGTTTTTGCATTTGGGGATGATCATTCTTGATTGCCTTGGGGAGAACAGATTTTGGGGGAGGGTACAGAGCAGAAGTGGGAGGCCAGTGCAGAGGTGGATTAGTGGTAGCCTGGGCCCTGTGTTGGCTTGCAGCCGTTGGCACCTCGCATCTCAGTCTGTGGGCTGGTGTGGGCAGCTGTGTGCATTGGTCTGTTCCCATAAGCTGCTGCTGTCATCTGGAAGTGACCCAGGGCAGAGGAAGCTCTGAAAGGCTTCCTTTGCCTGCAGGGAGGAAGAGCAGGGCTCTGCCTGGTGGTGGGGACTTCCAGCCCAGCTGGCAAGGCTGTCCCTGCCTCTCCCAGCATGAACTGGAGGGGTCCCTTTACTGTGTTGATTTAGGAGTGGGCCAAGTACAGGAACTACTTGGGAAGGGTAAGGATTATTTATTTTGACAAGGGAGGGCTGTGGATAATTGATTCAGGGAGATAAAAATAAAGAAAAGTGGTCACCTGTTGACAGAAGCTGTCATAGCTAAAAAGGTATTTATAGCTGCTTTCCACTTAGGTTAGCCCAGAAGACTTGAGCAAAACTTGCAGTGGAATCTTCCACACCAAACACTGGAAAGAGAAAGGACTTGAGGATTTGAACTGTCTGTCCCTGTCCGGTAATAACTGGTTAAACCAGTCAGCCCTGGGCTTCTGCTCCTGCTGGCTCCTTGTTAGCTAAGGGGGTGTGTCTGGTTGTGAGAAATTAGAAGTCAAGTTTGAACCACTGTCAGCCAAAAATGTTGAGAAATGCAGCTTGTCCCCGAGGAAGCCTGGGAGTCATCATTGATTTGGTGGCCAAAGGTGAAGTCCTGGGAGAATGTCCCCCAGAAACTACTAAAGTGGAGGTTGGCAAACTTTTTCTGCAAAGGACCAGATAGTAAATATTTTAGCCTATGTGGGCCAAGAGGCAAAACTGAGGATTTTGTGTAGGCATGTCTGTATTCACTTAAAATGTAACTATTTAAAATTGTAAAATCCATTCTTAGCTCACAGGCTGTGTAAAAAGTGGAAGCAGGTCAGGTTTGGCCTGTGGACTAACCTCTGCTGACCCGTGTGTGAAAGGCTGGTGAGAGGCACTAATTTCCAAACCAAGCACCTGCTTCCCGTTGTTCAGTTTCACAGAAACAGTTGCTATAATGAGAGCCTTAATTTGTGTGAGGGAATAGAAGGAAGGGAGTGCTGCTAGTTCAGGCTGTAGCTCTAGGACACAGATATGGCAAAAGAAAGTGAGAAGGCACTAATTGGGTAACAGATCCCTTCCTGATGATTACCTGACCAGGATGATATTTTTTTATGGCCAAGATGAGTCTGCTGGGGAAATTTCACCATGGTGGTTCAACCCAGGAACTTAGCCTGCCTGGGTCAGTCCACAGTTGACTTTTTTTTTACTCATCCTCACTACAAAAAATTAGCCAGTTTGCCAAGATTTCTGCCTCCTAAAGACATCAGACTACAAGGACATTTCTTTGCCTCTATTTTTCTGTGTGACCATGAGCAAGATGCTTAACTTCTCTGAGCCTCAGTTTTCTAATCTATAAAATGAAGATAAAAATGGCAGCTGCCTCCAAAGGGCTCTGGGAGGATGAAGGAAATACTGTATGTGAAACACACCTGACAACTGTTATCTGTGCCCAATATTATTCTTTTTCTCTTTTCTCTGTCATTGCTCACTGTTGATTTGGTTTGTTCTGTTCTTCCTTTGGTAAGGCTGGAAAAGAGGAACGGGAGGGCTTGGAAGAAAGCCCCCAATCAGTAGGCAGACAGGAGAAAGAAACAGAGTCCTCTGATCCCGAAAACACACGGACAAAGAAGGTAAAGTTTGTTTCAGATTCTGGCAGTGTAGCCACCTCTGCCCTGAAGCCATCAGAGACCAAGTCCCCATCCTGCCTGGTGAGGTCCTGCTGCATGGAATATGTCTGAGACTCCACTGCCGGTCCATGAATGAACCAGTCCTCCCAGCACTTCTTGGAGGAATGGCTTTGCTTGGGATCTTTGTCGAGGAGATCTTTACCCACAAGCCCGGGTTCTGCCTCACTCTCCAACAACTTGGCTGTGCTCCTAAGAGAAACATGTGCCCAAGAAAAGACTCAGGCTTCAGAGCCAGACTCCCAAAATAGACAGGTCCCTTGGGGGATGGGGAGATACTACTTCGGGTACTCGAGCTGGGGCCCCGACCTTGGCAATCCCAGGCCCCGGGATTAACAAGACATCTACTGTGCTTGTAAAGCTTATTTTACTTAATTAAAATGAAAAACCCAGTTACAGTCTTCCTGGGCCTGGGCTGCCACAGCAAAAAAAGAAATGTCCTTGGAACGTGGCCAGCTTCATGCCTTTCCGGTCAGGGAAGATGGGTATCGCCGGCAGGGAAGCCGATCTCCTAAATCTGTCTGCAGAGTCCGTGGGCTGCAGGGAACGCCAAGAGGAAAGTTTTAGGAGGGGCCTAGTGGGAACTGTGGCTACAGAAGTGTACCCTTGCCAGGAGAGGGTGCTTGGGGGAATTTTGTGGGAGACTTTCCCACAGTTACAGTTAGCGATGCAGCACATGCAAGGAAGTAGCTCCAATAAGAATTTAGTTTATAACTTAATCATTCATTCCAAAACTATTTATTGAGCACCTATTATCTGCCAGGGGTTGAAATTCTTTGTGTCACTTAAAACACGGTGGATTAAGCATTAGGGCTTATTCCAAATCCTGTGCTGTTTTGAGTGTCACTTTAAACATGAGTCAGTGGTGTGGGACTGGAGTGGTGCACAGTAATTACCCACTGATTGTTCCCAGGCCGAGATGAGAAAGCTCAGGATCTTTCTGGTTTGAGAGGTCCTTATGGTCAAGGTTTGTACCTTCTGTTTGGATGCTCTCAGCCACCTTCTGACCTCTGTTCTGTGTTTTTGCACAGGAGCAAGATTGGGAGAGTGAAAGTGAGGCAGAGGGGGAGAGCTGGTATCCCACGAACATGGAGGAGCTGGTCACAGTGGACGAAGTTGGGGAGGAAGAAGACTTTATCATGGAACCGGACATCCCAGAGCTGGCAGAAATTGTGCCGATTGACCAGAAAGACGATCTCTGCCCAGAAATATGTCCCTGTGTAGCAACCACTTTAGATTTCACCAAAGAAGGAGTCAAGGCCATTGGCAATGGGGCGTCAGAAGTCAGCCTCAAATCACCCAGAGAACTGCCTCCTGTTTCCACGAGCTGTCCCAGTGACATAGACGTGGAAATGCCTGGCCTAAATCTGGATGCTGAGCGGAAGCCAGCTGAAAGCGAGACAGGCCTCTCCCTGGAGGATTCAGATTGCTACGAGAAGGAGGCAAAGGGAGTGGAGAGCTCAGATGTTCATCCGACCCCTGCAGTCCCGCAAATGTCTTCCCCCAAGCCAGCAGAGGAGAGGGCCCGGCAGCCTAGCCCATTTCTTGATGACTGCAAGACCAGGGGGACCCTCGAAGATGGGGCTTGTGAAGGCAGCCCCCTGGAGGAGAAAGCCAGCCCCCCCACCGAAACTGACCTCCAAAGCCAGGCTTGCCAAGGAGTGTTGACCCCCGGTAACTACCTCCCCTTTTCTCCTGGGTGGTGGGGTTGATTGGACCCTGTGCACCTGACAAAGTGCGGGCATGTGTAGGCTGGAAGGAACATAAGGAAGGTTTCAGCTAGCATCAAAGCTGCTGCAGAAAGTAATTTAGCAACAGAGGCAAGCCTCTAAAAGCCTGGTTAAACCGTTAGAGCTTTTAGGCAAATGGTGCAAAAGAAATCAGATAGGTGGGCCGCGTGTTTTCTGAGAAACTCAGATAGGACAGACTTCTGCGCATTTACAGGCGCTCAGATGGACTTGGATAACTAAAATTAGCTTGAGTTATCAGCGAAAGAATATCAGAAGGGGCCAGTCACGGGCTGCAGAGGAGGACCACCCAGGCTGTTATTTCTGTGTTGGGGCAGGGGTGTGGGAGGCAGGAGAGGAGTGGACAGGCAGGAACAGGGGCTCCCTAAGGGTACAGCCATTCCCCTTCCTACTACCTCAGACCCCTTTTTCTCCAGGGTCTGCCAGTGGTACGAGACCTGTCCCGGGCTCTCCTCCACCTCCATAGGAGGTGATATTGTGTCTATGCCTGGCACTGTGACATCATGAAAGAGAGAGTTTAAAATAGGCTAAGCCCCGTCTTCTCTGCCAAATGGAAACTAAGATCCAGCAAGGGCCATGGGGGTAGGGAGGGAGAGTAGCCTTTAAGAGTCTGACTGTGTAAATAACTGGAAATTCACTTTGCAGAAAGTCTGCAGCATACCAGAGGTTGAAGTAAGAGGCAAAGGGCAGAAATTACAGAGGAAGGGCTTAAAATCAACGTTTCTGGCAACCCAGAGCCCTGTGGGTGGCACAGGCTGTTAGGTAACCTGGAGGCTTGGGCTTTCCTCCATGTCAAGCTGACCTGAGCTGTTTTCCACCTGCGTGGATCTAAGTCTCCATGGAAACCCTGCCATGCACCGCCTTCTTGTTGCTAGAGAAACGCCGAGGCCCAGGCTCCGTCTAGAGAAGGCAAGAATAAAGGAGGAATGAAATTTTCACCTAACTCTGAGTGAACCTCTTTTATTTGCGGTATAAGTCTCAACATGTGCCACTGGTAGTGGCTTGTTAGCGTACCCAGTGTTTGGGGTTCATATTTAATAACACCACTTGACAAGCTTGGGTGAGAATGGCATTGCCTTTTTGCCAGCCTCAGTGGACGTCAGCACAATTTTTGCCCGTCGATGATTCCTCTGCCTGCAGGGCTGGGGTGATACTGAATTGGAAGGCAGGGGGCAGGGGTGGATCATTGCAAGCGAAAGCACCAGGAGCCCATGCCCCCTGGACCAAATGCAAAGATTTGCCAAGTATTGTTGTGTGTGGCATTCTTTTGGCAGTGGAAACAGCTCTTAATTATAGCGCTTTGGTTCTAATTAGCAGTCATTGCCCCAGCCTCATGTGATTAAGCAGTCCAAGGGACAATTCCTAATCACGCAGTGCAGGGACTCGAATTGCAGGGACTCTCTGAGGCATGTTGTGTTTCATAATTTCTTTGCCTTGGCTCATGTTTTGCAGAAAACTCCAGGTATATGGAAATGAAATCTCTGGACGTGAGATCACCAGAATACACTGAAGCGGAGCTGAAACAGCCCCTTTCTTTGCCTTCCTGGGAACCAGAGGATGTGTTCAGCGAACTTAGCATTCCTCTAGGTAGGTGAAGTGCACAGCCCTTCCTGAAGTACAGCTCCAGGAAATGAAAGTTCCACAGCAACATCTGAGAGCTTGAGAGGGCTTTTTATCATTTTGTTGCCGTTGTCATTTTTAACGTATGATGCAATAACCTAGATTTGCATGGTGCAACTTTAAAGTTTCTTGCAACTTCTGTCTCCCATAGTAGATGAGATACTCCAGGGGATCAGGCCTTGAACAGCACTGCCCTGGGACCCAGAGGCCTGTTTTCTGTCAGAGAATGCTTTATTCTTGGCGACACAGAGCCTTTAAGCCCAGCTCTTTTTCAGGCAGGGAAACAGAGGTCCAACAGCCTCTATTAAGTCAACAGAAGGGAACCTCTTCTGCTACTTCTCATTGCCCCAACCTTTCCTCACCCTGGCCCTTCCCGGAACAATGCTAACATTTTTTCTCTTTAAAGGACCAGTTTTTCCAAGGTGATGATGCTGACTAGACTGTTTGCAACAGACCCTTGATAATTGAGAGAGGGAGCACTGAACAGAGAGACCTGGGTCCCGTCCTTCCTGGTCTACGTATGGGTCACCCTGTACCCTTAGACAGATCATACCCCTTCTTGAGCCTTAGTTTCCCCATCTGTAATATGGAATTGGACCAGATCAGTATTTTTTTCAAGGGTGGAAGTGTTGGGGGTGGAATAAGGAGGGAGTTTACTAACAGAATCACCTAGAACACATTTCCAAAGTAGTGGGTTAAGCAGAATCTCAAGGTAGGGAGTTGAAGGCACTTTAAGAATGTTTCCCGGGAGATTCTGTCACCACCATTAACCCAGCGATTCCCACCCCAGCCTACGGCATCTTTGAGTCTTTGTGTTAACTCCAAAAAGTTGGAAAGCAGTGAGATAAAGCAGTAGTAACACCTGCTCAGAAGGACAGCTTGGGACAGTGTCACAAGGAAGCATGAGAAGCATCGGTCATCTGATGACCGATGACCATGTGTCTGCTTATCCCAGTAGGGGCTAGTCGGCGTGGAGGCTCACCCTTTCCTTCCAAGTTTTTCTTTTCTTTGTTCTTCTTTTTTAAAAAATCTGTTACTATTTCTTTCCTCCAAGTGTACTGTTTTCGTAGAGTCAGATTTGGAGAGCAAACTTCCTTTTTTTGTTGTTGTTTTTTTAAGGGATAAATTGGCTGCATAGCATTTCCTAAGACAAAAACTAACAGGAAAAAAAAAAAAAAAAAGAAAGAAAGAAATACTGACCTTAGAATGAACTGAGATGACCCTGGGTGTTTTAACTCTGGAAACAGTTGCAAAAGCTGCAGTAAATGCAGGGAGGGATGCCTCCTGCATTCGTTAGGCGAGCAGATACTTACTGGATCACATGGTGCCCTGCTAGGCACTCTGGAGGAACCAAGAAATAAACACACATCTCTTGTCATCCGAGAACTTGGAATCTAATTGACACAAGCAAAAAATTAAGGATCAATTCTGCTACCTTGCAATTTGTGCTTTTTATTACGGTTTTTCATCACTGAAACTGTGAAAGATTATGGTAACAAATTCCAAAAAATAAGAACCATATAAACTCAATATTAAAGGTCTTATCTCTTCCTTTCAGTTTCTCCCTAGCCTCCAGAGGTAACCACTGTCATGCCCACAGATAGTTTTTCTTCTACAAAAATAGGAGCACACGATACATATAATGTACTGCAATTTGCTTTTTTCACTTAACAGCAGGTCTTAGAGATCTTTTCATGTCAGCACATAGAGAACACATTCTTTTTAACCACTGCAAATGTTCCAGCTTAAAAGCTATGCCATAAATTACTGATTCTTCCCTCTAATGGTTAATATTTAGATTGTCTTCTATTTTTTCCATTATGAAAGTGCTGTAATAGCTAAGCTTTTATCGGTGACATTCACCATTCCTATTACTTTGCATGTATTATCTTATTTAACCCTCTCAAAACACTTATGAGGGAGGTGGTATTTTTACCCCTATTTTATAGATAAGAAATCTGAGATGCAGAGTCACAAAGCTAATGACTGGCAAAGACCAGAGTCAGGATTCGAACCCCAGTAGTCTGAGTCTAGAGCCATGTTCCTGCCGTCTATCCTCTGCTGCCTTCCAGATACGCCTGTTTAGTTACCTTTGTGTGAGTTCCAGTGTTTCTGTGGGACAGCATCCTACCCGGGAGAGTTGTGGATTTGCATTTCAAACTTTCATAATGACTACTAAATTACACTCCCAAAAGATGATAACCAGTTTTCACTGCTGCCTTTAGTGAGAGTTCCCATTCTCCACCTCCTTGCCAACACTAGAGGTTAGGAGTTTTTAATCTTTGCCAACCTGTTAGTAAGAAAATGGTATCTCATTTTGTTTTTTAAAAATAGCTGTATTGAGGTATAATTGATATACAATGAAGTGTACATATTTAAAGTGCACAGTTTGAGAAGTTCTGACCTATGTAAATACCTGTGAGACCATCACCACAATCAAGATAATGAACATGCTCATCACCCTCCAGCTGTCCTCAGTCTCCTTTGTAATCTCTCCCTCCACATTCTGGTTTTCATCCACCTGTTGATGGACATTTGGGTTGTTTTCTGTTCTGGGCTTTTACAGATTGTACTTGTCTGTAGTCTTCAGTTAGCTTTGAGACCCATTATCTCATTGGTCCCCCGGGGAGGAGTGTGGTACTATTTTCTGCATTTGACAGGCGGGGAAACTGAAGTCCAAAGATGTACCCAAAATGACACAGAAGGTCAAGTTATAACTCAGGATTTCTGATCTCAGACCACTCTGCTCTCCCGTTCCTCCAATTCAGGCAGTAGCACAGTGTAGGAGTGACAGTTTTTGTGCAGAAGAGCACAAACAGGGAATCTGATTCCCTGGGTTTAAATTTCCTCTCTACTACTTGCTGGCTGGGTGACAAAGAACAACTTATTTAACCTCTCTGCTTGGATTTCTTCCTCTGTCTATCAGGGATAGTAATAGAAGCCTACTAGGTAGAGCTATTTTGAGGATTAAATGAACAAATACTTATAAGGTCTTAGTACTTAGTACTTATTAATAACTTCCTCCAGTAGGAAGTACTTAGTAAGTGTTGTCTATTGTTATTATTCATTCATGAGACCTACTATGCATCCTCTCACTGGGGCTGCTAACCCTTCACCCACCCTCCAGGACTAGTCACTGCTGGCAGAGAAACTTCTAGGGAGGTGAGAGACGATTTTTAGCCCTTGTCCTTGTGGAGAGCAGGGAGGTGAAATGAGGGGTGCTAAGGACCGGGGCACCCCATTGGGAAGAGAGGGAGGCCAGTCCCATGGCTCAGGGACTGAGGGTGGGAATGGCTGGGGAAGGGCACTGGCCGAGTGACGCAGCCAGCTCTGCATGACCCTAGCCGGCGCCAGCCTGCCAAGGCCTGCTCTCACCTGGACTAAATAGCGCCGCCTGCACAGCACGATCCCTCCTCCATCCATCCTCGGCTTTACTAGGATGACAGGGTTATAATTACCCAAGCCAGGAGCTATTATTAGAAGGCAAATGCAGCTTTAATGATCGTAATAGAGGCTGAAAAATGGGAGGACCAGGTAGCTCCAGAACACATCAGGGCCGTGGCAGTGTTTCTTGATGCTGCCACTTCATGTCCCCGTCTCATTCCAGAGGCGTCCTGAGTGCAGGTGTGGGCACTGTAATGCCCGCAGCACCCCCAGTTATTCTGGGGTGACTTGCCAGCCCTTTGGGGATCCTCTCTGCCCAGACTTCTCTTCCCCCAGTGCTGTCCTGTGGCTGCCTGGTACTGCCCAAACCCACTGGGCAGGCGGCAGGGCAGAAAGTTGCTGCCAAACTGCAGAGCTGGGTTCTCCAGGTGGCCTTGGGGAAGGGTTGGGGGCACGTCAGAAGGTTAATGCTCAGGCAGTTGGCTTCTGTGAAGAAATGTTTAACACGTGTCAGACTGTTTTTTGAGCACCAGGCAAAATGATAAGTGCTTCCCTATAACACCATTGTAGTATTATTCCTATTTCACTGATGAGGAAACTAATCTCAGAGAGGTTAAATAGTGTGCCTGAGGTCACACAGCATAAGTCAAAGAGTTGGGTCTGACTCTAAATTCCATGTTTTCTCCACTATAGTGTGGCTTCCAAGGTTCTTTTTATCTGGCAGTAGAAGCCTTTGTTTGGGTGAAATCTCGCCCAGAACCTCACACATGGCAGCTACACCGCTGTGGTTGGCAGGGGCTGCAGCTGCCAGCTCTGTCCCTGCCTCAGGCTCTGAGGTAGCTCCTGGGGCAACTATTCTCCTTCTGGGGGTCCCAGGATAAAGCTGGGAAGACCTCAGCTAGGTCTTCAGTGAAAACCCCAGGGCTGCTTTCCTGGTACTCCATAGGTGCCAATCCAGTATCTGGGAAGGGACAGAGGGGGTGGCTCTGAGCAAAGTGCTCTGGGGGTGCATCTCCTTTCCCAGTGGCCCCCTCCTGTACCGTGCGGGCCTCAGCTCCCCTAGAGCAGGGGCCAGCAGGAAATTACTCTGCAGCAACAGAGGAAGGAGGTGGGCCTTGCTGAGTGCACCCTGCCAGCAAGAGCCAGGAGCCGGGCCTGCCCGTGAGGTGGAGGGGAGGACTGGCCACCGACAGACCAAGCTGGGGCTGTTCTTCTGTCCTCTGCAGAGAGGAGGGGAAGGACACTCAGCCTCCCTCTGGGCAGCTGCTCCTGAGTGGGGCCCCTCACTTCTGAGGGCTGCTGCCGCCCCCGGGGCACGGCTCGAAGCTGCTACGTGGCAGTTGGAGAAACCAACCGGGCTGAGGAGGCCGCCTCAGGCCCCAGACCACAGCCCAGTGTCCAGTCCGGGCGGTGCAGGCTCAGGCAGGCCTGGCTCCCGCCCTCCCTCAGTGCTGCCCTTCACGCTGATAAGTAGCTTTTCTTTTTAATGGAAAAAAAAAGTTCTAATTTCAAGTCTAGACTGCTTCTGTATGACAAGGTCTTCTAGGCACTCAGCTCAGTGTCCCGGGAGGTGGGAGAAGGAACTGGATTTGTGGTCAGTCGTGCAGCGCCTTGCAGGGGCCACCATCCTGTGTCCCTCCCTGCAAGAAGTTGCTGTCCCCCCAGCCTGTGCCACCCCAGGCCCCTTCTCTCCTTCTACCCAGTGTGGCCAGATCTCTGGTCATTTCCCCCCTCCAGCAGAGCAGAGGGAGTGGCCCAGCCTGGCCCAGCCCAGCCGCAGTGTCCTGCTCACACGCAGGCGATGGCCCGGCCCACAAGTGGGTCTGGGTGTTCCAAGCGTCATCCCCTCTAGTTTATTGCATGGTGGGCCCTGCTTTTCACAGCCCTCATGCCCCTGTGCTTTGGCCGGAGCGTCATAGTCAGGTGCCCGATAAGCAGGGCTTGTGTTCTTCCTGATTCCATTTGTGGGTGAGGAAACTGAGCCCTGGGGGCGGGGGTGTTCAGCTGAGCCTCCCAGGTTCCGCCGGTTCTTAACATCTGGCCTAGACTCTTTCAGACCTGGGCTCTTCTACCCACCATGTCTTCAAGAGGAGAACCATGACCCCCAAAACACCTTCGTGGAGGCTAGGCAGCCCCCATCCCTTCAAAGACGGATCCTCTGGTCGTGACCTTGTCACTTCTCTGTGGCTGTGGGGCCATTGTTTCCTTCCCTTGGAATCAAAAGGCCTCCCAGAATTCTGGGACTTATATTTAATAAATCTCAAATGAAATACTTTTAATTGATGGCTCAGATATAAAGCCTGGAGGAAGGTGGAAGCATGTTTATGATATACTATTACATGAAAAAGGGAGGATACAGAACTGCATTTAGGGTATGATTAAAACTACCAAAAAATAAAAAAAAGGCCTTACATATAGATAAATTGTGCGGAATAAATATTTGGATTGGAGTGACTCTGGGTGATTTTTTTCCCCTCACTTTTATTTATTTTACATTTACTTTTTAATGAACATTATTCTAAAATAAACAAAAATGAGAGAATTCTTCCAGAGTCCTGGTCACAATAGCTGTAGAGAGAGGTACAATGTGGAGAAATGAAATCCAACCAGTGAAAAGTCAGAAATGTCGTGACCCTCCTCCTCCTTTTCCTGGAAGCAGGCCGATTGCGGGAGGGCCTGGACCCGATTCCCAAAGGGCAGTGCAGAGCATATGATTGCCAGGTACTCGCCACACCCGTGGAGACATCCCCTGCTTTCACAAGCACTTGTGAATGAAGTAGGCGCTAGTCTCTTTGTGACTGTTTTGCAAATGAGGAAACTGAGGCTTGGAGAAGCTAGGTAACCAGCCAAAGTCAACAGCAAGTGAGGGTGGAGCTCGTTGGTCTCATCGCCACCTGACGGCCTCCCACTCCTTCCTAACGCCTGCCTGTCCCTCCCGGTCCTTCCCCAGGGGTGGAGTTCGTGGTTCCTAGAACTGGGTTTTACTGCAAGCTGTGTGGGCTGTTCTACACCAGCGAGGAGATGGCGAAGGTGAGCCACTGTCGCAGTGCTGTCCACTACAGGAACCTACAGGTAACCACCAGCCTGCCTTGCCCAGCACTCCTGGGGACCCCTGTCTGCACACCCAGACCAGGCCTCCGATTCTAGCGCCCACCTTCAGGGCCTACCCCAGGCGCAGGCTACTCGCCGTTCCCCAAGCACACCAAGGTCTTTCCTGCCTGTGGGTTTCTATCTCCTCCCGCCACACAGAGCACTCCTGCTCTGCTTGTAGACTTGACTGCCAGGCTGCTCCACGTGGTGGCCGCGTCCCATGTGCTCCCAGAGCATCGGTTTGGGTTGGGTTTATTAACTTCCGCCCCTCCTTTTATACTGTGAGTACTTGAGTTAGGCCAGGCTTCCTTCACCTGGCCCATGGTTGGGGCTGACGCCTTCCCACAAAGCCTGGATGTGCCAGATGCAGATATTTCTCTGTCTTTTTTCCCCTGTGCAGGTATCCCTGTTGGTTAGAATAAAAACTACTATTATGTTCTATTTAAATGTTCCTCCATACAGCAAATATTTTTCACAGGCAGACTGTGTACCAGGCACTGTTCTAGACATTGGGGATATAAGAGCAGCAACAGTAAGGCAAACAAAACCCCTGTCCTCATGGAGTTTCCATTCTAATGTAGTAAATGAGCAATAAATAAAATAAATGATAAAGTATATGAAAAGGTGACATATAAAAATACTCTTTATACCATATTTCATCCAATGTAAAGTGCCATCATTTGTGAAGACACACCACAATTTTTTGATAGCAGCAAGAAAAAAGAAGTTGCAAATTAAATGTTGAGACTCCAGCAACTGAGAAATGCATTTTGATGTCAGAGATGTTAATGTGTGAATAAAAAGTGTCTTAAAATGGATGAAATATGGCAATATGTTCTATTATGTATACCTAACTAATACATAGTATATTAGAATGTGGTTTTCATAATTAACTTTTGGTATAGGCTGGGTTTTAGCAGCTTAACAGAAGGCTTCGTATATCAGATGCCCACGGGTAAGTGTCTCGCTGAGGACAGCTCCCGTTTTTACTGTAAGGAATCAGACTACTTGTTTGACTCATAGGCCTCAACTCAATAAGTCCTAATCAAGGCTGGTCCCTGGTCCCAGGCCAGGCGTTACCCTTAGATTGTTAAAGAGTAACCGATCTAGTGGGTCTTAACGAGGGATGTGATCCAGAATCACCTGGACAGTGTGGCTAAAATACATGCACTAGGTCAGATACTGGCAGCGGGCTGGGGAGGGCGGGTTGTGAGAATGTGTAATTTGAGAAGGTTCTCTAAATGATTCAAATGTGCACTCCTAGTTAAGAAACTCAGGTATAGGCTCTCTTGTTTTATAATTGAGGAAACTGAGGCCCAGAGAAGCTGCATGATCTGTCCAAGCCACGTAGATAGTGAGTTACTGGATCTAGGATCAGATCACCTGATTCTTAATCACTTTCCTCTTTTGACTCTACTAAGCTCATCTTGGAAACTGAGACCCATAATGTCATGGCCTGGGTCACCATCTGCAAGGGATTGTCATTGGCAATGCTCAAACTCAGGTCATTTAAGTCTCTTGATTTCCCTCTGGAGAGCAGCTGCTCTGTGACGGAGGCAGCCACAGGGCCCGCGGTTGGGCAGTGAGGGCCTGAGTTGGCCAGAGCAGGGGATTTGGACTGGGCGCCGCAGAGCCAGCTGAGAGTGAGGGCAGTCATCTAGCCCGAGGACATAACCATCCCCTTCCCCACCAAGGTGAGGTCCACAGAAGGCAGGGCCGGAGGGGGTCTTGGAGATCATCTGGTCCTGATTTTCCCAAACCTTGGTCCATGCATCAGCTGGAATCTCTTTGAAATGCAGCTTCCTGGGCCCCACTCTGCACTTGCTTACTCATTCTCTATGGGGCTGGATCTGAGAATATACAGTGTAAACAGTGTTTCCAATCAAGTCCTAATACCTTGGTGTGAGAACCTTTTATTTCGTCCAGCAGTCCCGGTGGGATTGTGCAGCCCCCGAAGAGCCCACACAGCTCAAGGTCACCCAGGGAGTTAGGAAGAGTTCGGACTTGCCAGGGCCTCTAATTCTAACCCGTGTATTTTCTCTAGGCAGTGGCCTGCACTGTGTTCTGGGCCTCTGGGCCACACCCCTCCCAGCAGGAGGCCGGAGCCGTTCCTGAGGTCCCCAGGCACATCAGGGGCAGACGTTAGCTAAGCCTGTCATGCTGGCCAACTGCAGTTTAGGTTTACCTGCTGCACCTGTCGGGGAGCTGGGATCCTCTGCCACAGGCTTCCCAGATAGGATTTCTGTCAGTTCCTTCACTGAATGATCTGTCCACCCAGCTTGGCTCACCCCACCCCAAGCAGCAGGTGCTGGCTGACAGCTAAGTCAGGCAACTTTTAAACTTAGCACCCACCAGGAGGCCTCAAGGATGGGATCCGGGACTGCTCTTCCAGGCAGGGAGCAGGTAGAAGGAGCCTCCATTCTCTCCGAGCAACCCCTGCTGTGCCCTGCTGCTGTCATGGCTCTGCGAGAACCCACCCCAAGTAATCCAGAACAACAGTGGAGTCAGCACTAGACAGGAAAACTGGATACCTGCTTGGCTCCAGGTCCAAGATACTCATCCAGGCAGTGTACTCATCCACTCACCTTCCTCAGCGCACGGTTTCCCTCCCTGAGCCCGGTCAGCAGCCTTGCCCCCTGGCATCCTCGGCTTGCCCCTCTCCCAGTCAGCCTGTTTCCATCCCAGGAAGCCAACCACAGTCTCTTCCAGGAGAGAGCAGGCAGCCCTAGCTGTCTTATGCATGTCCAGAATCATGGCAGGAGGAGGAATGAGGAAGACACTGTCCTCTGCCTTTAACAGATTAGGAGTCTGAGGCCAGGAGAAGAATGACTCTCCCCAAATGCCATGGCTGGTGCTATGGATGAGAGAGCCGACATTACTGAGTGTTTCTTCCGTGCCAGGCTCTCTGATAAACACTCTGTGTTGCCTCTCTCCACTTCACAGCAACCTTATGCCATAGTTACTGTTATCACCGTCACTGGGCAGATGTCAGAGTATTGGATAACCTGCCTGGCGAGAGCTAGGATTTGAACCCAGGCCATTTGACAGCAGAGCCCACACACTGTGCTGGACCTAACCTTTCTGACTCCTAACACAGTGCTCTTCGCACTGTCCTGGCTGCCCCGGCATAGTCAGAGCAGCCCCACGGGGGCCACAGGCCTTTCCTTACCCTGTCTCACCGCATTGACTCTGGACAGCCTGAGCAGCCCACCCTGGCTCACCGTGTTTTGCTGGGGCCAGTCATGCAGTGAGTGTGCAGGGGCCATGTGGAGGCCGCCCCAACTGCAGAACAGGCCATTTTAAAATCCATCCAAAGACCTCCAGACCACTCCACCTGCTGGCTTGCCCTGACAGGAAACAGGTTGCTGGGAGTCTCGGATGTCAGGCTGCGGTTTCTATCTTGCACAATTGCTATAGGCTGGTGCTTGCCTTCCCCGCCTTCCAGCCTCCCTCCCTCTGCCTTTTACACGTGGACGTGCTGCCTCGAGACTGGGCCCTTTCTGGAAAACAGAGTTGTTGTGAGGATTAAATGAATTTATGTAAGCCAGGCAGTTAGAACAGTGCTTGGCACCAGATAAGGGCTTTGGAAGTGTTTGCTGTTGTATCTGTACTTTCTACTTTTTCTAAAAGAGATGCCTATTCTGTGTAAACTGCCATAATGAGGGGCTTAGCTTGAGTTCTGTAGCCCCAGGGGGACCTGGGGACTGGAGACAGTGTCCCCCACTGGGCCCAGATGCTAAGACAGGGGACCGAGACACATCCCCTCCTCTCCTGTCCTGCGGGTCACCGCTGACACGTCCTTTCCTCCACTTCCCCCCTCCTCCCACCACAGAAGTACTTGTCCCAGCTGGCGGAGGAGGGCCTCAAGGAGACCGAGGGGGCCGGCAGCCCGAGGCCCGAGGACGGCGGAATCGTGCCACGCTTCGAAAGGAAAAGGCTCTGACGCTGCGGCTGCTGCTAGAAGGTGGAAGAGGGAGGCCTGCCCACGTGGGGCCTTCCTGACCGCTGGGGCAGGACTGAAGCCCGAGAGGAAGGAAAGCCAGGCAGGTCGTGTTGCTTGGGTTTGTTCCCAGAGACTCATTAAAATGCCCCCGAAGTGTCTCCAGGAGCCAAATCACCCTGGCGTGTCCAGCCGCTGAGGGTCACCAACTCTCCCTGTTGACTTTTGTTTCTCTCAAGTGATCTTTCCATTCGCTCCTCTCTCTCTCTTCCTCTCCCTCCCTTCCCCCTCCTCAGTGCCAAGGATCATTTCCTTTTCATAAAATCCAACTTCTCAGGGATTTTCACAGTGTTTAAATTCTTGACAGGGTATAACAGGTCAGGCCAGGCTGAGTCACGCAGGGAAATGGTTTAATGGAAACTCCTGGGTTGAGTGAACCCCTTCAGGGAATCTGCAGCGGTGTCCCTGCCTGGCGTCCCATGCATCCTGCAGGGGGAGCGGGGTTGCTGAGTGGGGTCCTGCCGTCCCAAAGAAAGGACGTCTTTAATAACTCTTTCATCTTCTCAACTATTCTATAAGTCTGCCAGATTTATGCCTTAAAGTAAAATTAAATGAATTTTATGGGGGAAGAAAAGAGCCCTTTTGTTTTGGAAGCTCTTATGTTTCTTCCAAACCTATCTCCCTCCTCTTGATTTCAGGAGCTGTCAGGCCTTGTTCTATTCTGGATAATGAATTTGGTATAGATTCGTTTTAATTAAAAATGAAAACGGAAGCATCTTCTCCCTCCAGCTAAAACAGCAGTTGGCGTGGCCATGGGTCGAGGGCTGGCCTCTCTGCAGGGGTGGCATTGGCTCGAGAGGCGCAATAAGGAGGAAGCAGCATCTGTCCTTGCCTCGCCCTTGCTGCCTGCACTCTGGGGCACAGCAGCCTCACAGTGGGATGGTTTTTAAATGCCCTGCAGTGGGGGAAGGAGCTAAGGAAAGAGAAGGCTGCAGGGCCAAGTAGCAGCAGTTGAGGTTTCCCAGCAGTTTATGGGGGGCCCTTTCCAACTGGACAGAGGTTGAAGGCTCCTGGGGTTTGACCGAACGCACGTGCAGACTCTGATGTCAAGATGTGATGAAGAACAGAGCCCTTGTTCCCAGTGCTCTTTCTGGCACTGGAGGTCATTGTCCTCAGACCCCTGAAGGGCTATGGGGTCTGTTGCCAGACAGTCCATCAGAAGGGTTTGGGACAAGGGTGCGGGGGGGTGGGGGGATGGGGGGTGGAAATGAGGCTCCGCCACAGCCACACAGCAGCTCCCAGGAAGGTCAGAAGGGAGCCTGGGGCTGTTTTCACGAGCTGAGCTACTCCTTGAAGGTGCCTTCCCTGGCTTCGCCTGTGAAAAATAAAACAAGGAAGATGGGTCACTCTCCCCCGGGCAGTTCCTGTCCTTTCTATTCCTGACTGCGGGCAGGTCCACTGAGAAGGGGCTGTGTGTGGGTTTTTTGTTTTCATTATTCTTTCTACGGTAGGTCAGAGTATACTGCACATTCTTTCCTCTGCACTAATGGAAGAAGGGTGGCAAGATTATCTAGCGCATTAGGGATGTTTTATGTCAGGAAACTGAAGCAAGAAAGGAAACAATTGTAGAATGTAGAAAGATCATGCAGAAACCTTGAGGCATACGGTCACAGGCAAAGAGACGACTGGGGGAAACTGGGAAGGACAAGAGTTTTGGCACCAAAGAAAAACAGACCAGTCTGGACAGGTGTGGTGAGGAGAGCTTGGAGGAAGCAAGAAACCTGAACTGGTCATCAGGCTGTTAAATAAAATGTCCAGGAGGCCCCTGGTTTGGACCCAAAACACCAAACCAAAATGGAGTCACTCATGCCAAAGTACCATGTCACCAAGCCAAGACTGAGTTGGTTATCTGACCTTCCAAGAAATCAAGAGAGAGAGAGAGAGAAAAAAAAAAAAATAGCCAAATCCCCATACAGGCCAGTTTTAGCTGGCATGATAAGGAAGTCACCTCTGCTATATCTTTTACAAGAAAAGTAACTTTGAAATGACCAGGCTGGTTTTTGTTCTCTGTGTCGTCTTTCCTCAGCCCTTCTCTGTCTATAAGGCCAAGCTCCCCTCTCACTCCTGGGAACACTTACTTATTCTATTTTGTGGAATGAGGTGTTGCCCAGTGCTAGAATCAAAAATAAAAGCCAATTAAGATCTTCAAATTTGTTGTAATTTTGTCTTTTGACAAGGCCATATGGGAGTGGTAGGAAAGGTGGTGTCTCAAATAGAATAAAGTCTGAAGATTGTGGCTCGGCTCAGATTGTTCCCCTGGCCTCTCCACAGGTCTTAACCTGGCATTCTGGACACCAGCTGTGCCTCCTCCATTTCTCAGAAAACCCTCGGCCCTGTGTGTCTTTCTTCCCATTGAGCGGAAGTCTGGGGGCAGCTCTTTGGCCTCCTCTGTGAACCTTGCTGGGAAAAGTCCATGTCTTCCACCAGGGGCTAGAATGATGCCTTATCAGAGAGGCTGGGCGCTGTGTCCCCCAGCAAAGTGGGAGCAGACCTCATGGCTCATTTTCCTCCTCCCCCCTACCCCAGCAGCATTTCCATGGAAATCCAGATGGTCGAGTTCCCGAGTAATATAATGCCTCCCTTGCTGATAGACTGACCTTCTTCATGTTGGAAAGCTGGAGAGAGCCCCTGGGAGGGAGAGAGAAGAGGCTGTCTCTGCATTCAATCAGAACCTTCCATTTAAAATCATCTACGAGTCTATACTTGTATGTGTGTGTGTATATATATATATATTTATTTTTATTTATTTTTATACAATTCCATTGGCATGGTCCTTCACCAACCCTATAATTTGCACTTTTTATTCCTATGTGTGTCACACCCAGTGCAGTATTAAAGGCAACCAGGAAAATATTGATTTATTTTTTAAAGCTTTTCTTTAATGTTTCGCCAACCATTTCAAAGTGTCTCCCAGAAAAGTTTGCCCAAGAGTAGCCTTGAGCAACAGATCCATTTGTACCCTGGGTACAATGTAATAAAGGCCTGCATAATCTTCTTTTCATTGTTAACATCTGAAATAAAGTGTCTCTAAACAATATGCCCAAAGACTTTGGTAAATTTGATGTTGGTGTGAGCAGCAACCATTAGTATCAGGGTTTCCCATTCTTGGACAGTCGGAGGCTGTGATCTGTTAGAGTATACTTGAACTGGACCAGAGTTTGTCTTTTGAGATTATGGGAAAAGCAAAAATACTAAGTTAAGTTTGAACTTGTAAAGTATTGAAATTTGTTGAGTGTCCTATAAATTGTCACCACTTTTCTTGATCTGTATAACTGACTGCAAAGTGTTTGTTTTTACAAAAGGAAAACACATTTTTAATAAAGAGAATTTGAAAGCTTGTGAGTGATGTGTGTCATGCTGGATTCCTCGACATTTGGCTGGGGGGAGCTTCCCCAAGCACAAAGTTTGGGATTTGGTCCCTCTGAATTTCGACTGTTTTCAAGGGTTGGACAGAGAGGGTGAACCGGTTTCTGCGAGGGCTCTGGTTGGGCTACCAGAGAGAATCAGAGGTTCTCAGGGGTGAGCCTTGGGGGATGAGTCTGATTAAGTGGGGGGGGCTACTATCCCTTTTGGAAGCTCAGATACAAAAATGTCTTGGCCTCGTATAAACCCCTAGTTTTGCTAGCTACCCTGTGCTCCCTGGTCTCTGAAGGCTGAACCCAGCTGTCCTGCACCAGGGTCAGGCCATGTTTGTCAGTTCCATCCCCTGTGAAGATGAAGATCTGGTGGTCAGTGCTGTCGTAGAAACAGCAGGCCCAGAGAGGCCTGGCCCTGCCACTGTTAGCCTGTGACTTCCTTAGGCCTGCTTCCTTGGGTGTAGAAAGGGATAATGGTATTAATCACTTCCCAGTGTTGTTTTGGGTTAAGATAATTGCTGGTAAAAGCGCTTGGTATGCTGCAAGGCACCGATCTTGTTTGTTTTTGTAATCTGTGCTCTGGACAGCAACCCTCCAAATTTCAGGTGGTTTAAGTTCTTTCTCAACCATTTCTTCTAGCAAAACAATGCCAGTCGCCTGGGCCCAGTTGGCCAGTCCTTTGTATGTCCTGGGCTCTCCCCTCTTGTTGGCAGTGCTCCTGAGTCAACGGGGAGGGGCTGGGCAGCCTGGACCCAGAGGGCAAGGTGAGGGGGCCGCCTGTAATTACTGGGAGCAGACTGCTGATCCAAGGAAAGTTCCTGTAGAGCCTGTTGCTGCTTCTCCACTCTACCCCCACTCCATGTGGCCACCCTTGGGCAGAGCTCAGGCCTCCAGTTCCCAACCAAGAGGGGTAGGGAAACATCCTTCTCTGCAACTGCTGTCCGGGCCGCAGCTGGCCAGAGCAGTGAATGGGCCTAAGGCTGGTCTTGCTGCCCTAAGTTCGGGATCCACGATGCTTGAGCGTGACCCTGGTGCCTAGTCCCAGCATATTGCTCTCTGTGGCACAACTCTAGAGAGCACCAGCCATGTTGTATTCTACAGGATGGCGCCCCCTGGAGTTGTGCAGTGCAGACATCCTGCCAGGGACCTCCCTGAGTTGCAGTTGTTCCCACATCCCTGAGTGTTCCCATTTTCTCTTGGAGGTCCCTGTGGGCCCTAGAGCTTGGGTCTGAGCCAGTCCACTGGGCTGGAGCTCTGACACTCAGACTCACACCTCTCCTCTCTTCCGCTGCCTGACTCTGCTGTGGCCTAGACGCTGGAGCTGCTTCTCACAGTGCCCCACTAGGTCATGTCACTTGGGTACTGACCTTGGCCCCAGTCTGGCCCAAGACCTCTGTGCCCCTTTGAACACCAATAGCAACTATAGAGTCTACCTCGGCGGTGGTTGGACATCTTGGCTCACCCCTGACAACTCCCCACTCTCTTTTTCCGTCATGTTGGCCCTACAAAGGCACCTATTTCAAGTGAAATTCCAAGCAGGTTAGAGGAGGATGGCCCCAGAGATCCCTAAGTCTTAGCCTTTCCCTTTGCAAGTGAGCAAACAGGCCCAGAGAAGGGCTGTGACTTGCCTAAAGCAGCATAGCTTATTAGTATAGGGCCAAGACTAGAATCCAGATCTCCTGGGTAGCCCTGTTGGGGCTACATGGGGAGTTAAGGTTATTTCAATTACATTATTTCATGAAGTTTCTAGGTCTAGCCCTGGCTAGACTTGGGCACTCAGCAAAGGACTCAAGACAAATCATGGATTCTCTTACTTTGGGTGCATTGGACTCACGTGGGGAGCTAGTTAGAAATACAGATTCCTGGCCCCTCTCATGGAGATTCAGACCTATGAGGGCTTGGGGAGGGCCCAGGCGTTTGCGTT